TTTGGGCAGAAACCAAATCGAAATTTTCAAAAAAAAAGTGCACAGTGCAAATAATAATAAATTCCTTATTAATAAGCTTTTTTGAATAAAAGTTTAAAAATTCAACAAACTTTTGTACAAATTTCGAACTGTTTAAAAATTCTAAAAAAATGTATGGAAATGTTTAGCCATTTGAAACTTGTACTGCATTCTACTAGAATTCAATGGGCTACAAAACTGCATATCAGGAATTTAATTAAAAACCTCGAAATTTTACCGAAAATTTGTTGATTTTTTTTTTATTGCATAAATTTTTAAGGCAGTGTCACTCGATTGGTACATTTTTATATTGGGCATTTGAAAATTTTTTTTAGTCATAAGATTGGTACAATACAGCGATGTTTTATTGAAAAATACCAACAAATTAATTTTCGTAATTGGGATAGAGAAAAATACTTTGGGTGCTCACACAATTGGGATACGATTTGCACCAAATTTTGGCATGTGACAGTGCCTTTAAACTTGTATTTATACGGATGTTTTTAAAGAATAAACTATAAAAAAAAACTAACCAAAATTAAATAACAGCAAAAATAATATTTTAAAACTTGTGAAAATTTGGTGCGGCTATAATTTGATCGACTACTGTACATAAGTTTATTATGATTACTCGGTCGTGCTATCATAGTAGCACAATAAAACTAAACGCATTTTAAAATTTTCAGGCAATAGCCTCATGCGATTATCGATTATATTTTTTGTTGTTTGTGTGAAATATTTTATTTTTATCAATATTTTTCTTTTAATCAAAATATGTTGAAATAAAAGTGAAACTAAAAAAAAATGTTTGCCCGAACACCCGGACTTATTTTCCGGGTAGCAATGTACAAGGAATTAATTTGAAATAACTATCGTTGTAGCAAATTTTGTACAATACAAAAAATGTAAAATAGCACTAAAGGTTCAGAAATGTAGGCATTTGCTAATTGTATTAGGTATATAAGGTAAATACAAATAAAAATCATTGTTTAGAACTGGTTTGTTGATTCCGGGCACGAAAAGTATTTTTTTTTTGTGTTTATTTACGCTCTGGGCCCTATTGGCACGGGTTGACACATTTTTGACACTTGTGAGAGAGTAACTTATTTTTACGCTCTAATTACCGAAACAGCCCGGAAAGCGTGTGGAACAAACCTAATATTTACCTGGTATTTTTTTTATATGTATGTATATTTACTGGTTTGCCTTCAGGGAGTTCATTTTTACTTGAATCGCTATTTTAAATTACTCTCTTTTTTCAAATAGGTGGTCCCCAATACGGAACGAAGGGCCCCTAATAGCAAGAAAAACCAATAATGTCGCCATTAGGTTACCTCAATAAACAAGTTGTATAGAGATATTAAACAATTTTTTTCCGTTATTATCTTAACTAAATGATATGCATATTTTCCTCCAACAGGGGGGCCAATTTCAAGTTGTTACTTATAGAAAGGTAATGGAATTCCTGCTGCTTGAGAATAATTAACTATGAGTAGTTTCTTTCCATCTTGGTTGTTTAATCTGCACCTTTGTTCCTTGGAATGTCTCTGCGAGCCAAGACCAAACTACTCAGAATACGTTTACATGATAAGGTACACTCAGAAAAAATGAGCTAAATATATTTCTCTCAACACTTCACTTGGTAACTGTAAACAAATTAGGTAGCTACAACAAAATTATGAGTTGACTGAAACATATTTAGTTGACGTAATTAAACTCTTTTCTCGGTGTTGACGACGGTTGAGATATCATGAAAGTCCGTTGGAGCGAATATATGTATATAACTGCCTACCATGCCTTGAATCCAGATATGTACTCTGGATATTCGTGGATTACTTGTTGTCAAAACTAAATTGAGTAGTAGATTGAGGTAATCAAAGACCATATGGAAGCACGTTCAGCATACTTTCACCGCCGGATCTGAGGTTCTTCTGTGGAAATGCTACACTTAATGTGGTCAGAAATTTCTCAGAAAAATTTACTGTAAGAAGATTCAGAGCACTTTAGTAGCTGCCACATGGACGTGGTTTTACTAGTATTTCGTGGCAGTTATAAATCAGTGACTATTAAGAAGGTAATATTTTGGTCGTACATCCGCTGGGGCATTTAGTGAACGATTTTTATTATTTACGCAAACAGTTTGCGATGTTCCGGTTCCTATTAACCTAAGATATCTTCTAACCTCGATAGTATGCATAAGTTCCAAGAGTATCTTAGTTCAATAGAGTGCCTTCTACCTTCTTGTTGGAAGGGTGGTTCACGTATGGACAATAGGAGTTACATTTAATATCAAGAACCGAAAGCAAGCGTTATTTTACTTTCTTCTGGTACACACAAACATATCGACCAAGACACAGTGGAACAGTAATAATGCAGATTCCAAACAACAATCTGGGACGCGCCGACGGACAATGGGGTCGCTTCATACAAGTTGAGGCTGCAGGGTTGTTGCGAATATTTTTCAGAAATAAAAGTCCTTTCCGCATAATAAACAAACCGCCTGTCCAAATTAAACAAATTTGCTATCATATGAAAGAGGACTGAAATAGCTGTTAAACAGAAATAGCGAACGACCTCTACTTATATGTTTTTATAATTTAATACTAAAGAAATGCATATACCTGACACAAGATTTGTTTTATGGTAATTAATTAAAAGTTTTTATTGAAATATTTTTCAATATGTGGCTTTCTTTGTTTAGACATTTCAGTTTTAAAGCTATTTAAACCCTCTTTCATTTGATACCAAACTTGTTAAATTGGGATGAGCGGTTTGTTTATTATCCGGAAAGAACCTTTATTTCGGAATAATATTCACAACAACCCTACTCAAAAGTCCGTAACCGGTATTTTCCCATAAAAATGCGGTGAACACATTAAAAAGGAAAATATCATATCATTTTTATAAATTTTTTCCATTGCTTTGTGTACTAACACTGTTCAATAACCTTTTTTTTTTTGAAATTGAAAAATATGTATTTAGTGAAAAAGAATAAAAACAGATCATCCGCGTGCACCACTCTTTCCATTTATTCACTTACTTCATGTTATTAAGACTGAAAAATAAAATAATGTACATTATAATGATGATAACGGGCCATAAAGATTACTTCAAATAGAACCAGTGAGAAAACGGTGCAATGCATGATAAAAATTTAATGAAATGAAAGAAAATTAGTTTCCTACAAGTTATTCCTTGTATCTCAAAAACCAATGAAATTATGTAAAAGTTGTGAAACAATCAACACACATTGTTTATTCAACAACTTCCTTCTAAACTAATAGTAACCTTATATATTATAATACACCCTTTAATAACGGGGCATCGAAAAAAATTGTATGACTGAAAAGTTAACTTTGAGTTGTTGTACGCAGGAACTGGTAGTAGTTATGAACACAAGATTTGTACTCTGTTATTACTCTCGCCCTCTATGAAGCGGCCCCATTGTGCGACGGTACACCGGCTGAACAGTTGAAAACTGGCAGCAAATACCCTTGATAAGAAAATCGCTAAAACCACATTTCTAACGACTTTAGAACCGCTTTTGATAGTAAGAATAGAAGCAAAACAACCTTTAGCTCCATCCCAATTGATAAGGACCCCTCAGAGGCTTTCGAGACCAAACCAAGTTTTAGACGAGGCGAATCATTTTCGCTTTGAGGAGCTGCGGGACCAACCTCTGCCGCAAGCGAAACTTCACTCTCAGCACGCGGCATTTTTCGCTATAACTTAACTTTGTAATAAATACCATTCGTAGTTGTATCAGAAAGGAGTGTACTCCTTGTCTTGGGGCAACCACATTAACCTATCATGCATTAATTGCTCAAATGGAGAAAAGGGCTCCCAAGTATTTTGAAATCGGGAGATTTCCACCATAGTATTTCTGTGGAAATGTATCTGTTTTTACCTGTGAAAGTGCTGTTGTTTTAGCTAGTCAAACCAATCGAAAACGAAATACTATGTTAAAAGTATTTTTGTGTTTTTATAGTCCCATTTATTTATAAAAAAAACTAGCTACATGCATTGCAATAGCTTAACTGGAATTTATAACCTAAGATTGACTTACAGAAAACTCACGTTATTGTATAAATTAATGCAATAATGTTCGTGGATGTGGGGTTCACTGCGATCATGCGTACTTATACTAGTAGCTTAATAGTAGCTTTTGCAACCGAGTAGCAGAAGAACACCACTAGGCCAGACTAAGAAATACAAGCAAAGCGCCAAAAAACACAAACTCGGCTATTTATCCGAGTTGAGGCAGGTTTTCGATTGAAAAGTAAACGGCCGAAAGCGTAGTATTTGAAAGCGAAAAACAGTACTATTGAGCGTGAGGGCTAGTAAAGGAAATTTTCACCGAGTTGGGCGTTCTTTCGGTACTCAGTTGCAAGCGAATTAGGCTAGTGTTATCGAAGATTATTTAAAGTTAAATGTTCGGTCTTTAGTTCCATAGATTTTCACCATTATATAGAACCATTCCACTTAAGATGGCTTAAGTAATTTAAAAACAAAATATAACTTAGTATCTAAATAAGTATATGCAACAAAACGAATGCTGAAAACATATGATTCATGGTGCAAAAATATGGCAGAATAATCGTTATGTTATTCGTATAACTTATACAATATAATATTGCTATTAAAATTAAAGATTACAGTCTGTGTTTCGATTTGATACGAACTAAGTATGTAAATAAACTAAGCACTTTCCCCGATGCGCAAAGTGCATGCACTCATAAGTATGTCAAAGAACATAAAAAAACACGGTTACTCGGTTTTCGCTACCACTCCGTTTTCTATGTTATTTGAGTATGTGCATTAGGGTGGTCCAAAAACAGTAAAGTCGGAAATGTTATGCTCTCACCCCCTAGGATTGTTCTATATCAAAAAAAAGTATACCCCAATTTTTTTATTTTAAAATCAAAAAATATTTAGGGGTCGCTCAAAGCGCTAAAAGTTTTCCATGTAATTTTATATGGGGAAAAAACATCTTTTCGTAGAAATCAATATTTCACATGCAGTTTTGGACCACCCTAATGTGCATACATATGTAAGCATAACTGACTATGGGTGTATGAGTGTGTGTGCAAAATGTAAACATACTATCGTATGTATGTCTATATCTATTTACAGTATGTGCCGCGCTCTTGAGTGCAAATTAACTACATATGTATGTATGTATGTACTACTTGAAATGTTCCTCCTACAAACACTCCTCCATCTCCTCGCATGCAACCGTTACTATCGATGATTTGGGCAACTCCACTTCCAGCAGTCGCGTACATGTGCCAGCTTCTTCGTCCTCCTCGTCGAGATTATCCTTGCCACAACGTTGTTCCTGCATCTCAATATCTAATGTACCATGCTGACGTTGGAACGAAATGAGGAAGCCTACCACCGATGCAAGCACAAACATGAACGCAAATATGGAGCAAACCACAATGATTAGACCGGAGCGCGTGAAGAGCGTAGAGGGTATCACTTCACTAACGCTACGCGCTGGCAGCGGCTTACCAATGATGCCACCACTCTCTGCAGCCGAATGATCATTGAACATCTGATCGGCGTCTTGTGGTGGAAAAGAGTCGAACATCACTGCGGCAAGGGTGGCGTCCACAGTTTTAAACAGCATCGGATGATGTTTGTTAATGGAGCGTGAACCTTTCGTTGAGGCGGTGACATCACCCTGTGCAGCGCTAACACCCACCAAAATCGGCACTATATTTGGGTCGTCGGTACTGTTGCTTTCATCTTCGAATGCTTCGAACTCTTTTGCTGCGGTAGTAGCTTGTGACTCAGTTGACGTTTGGGTAGCGGTTCCTTGAGTTTCGGACTTGGGGTTGGGTGTTGTGCTAAAAAGTGAAATGTGTAATTGCTCCAACTGTGCTGTTGTTGTCGAGGCAAGGCTTTTCGACTCTACGCTGCTGTCCTCTGTCACTGGCTCTTGAACTGTGAGTTCACTTGCAACAGCATGCGTCTGAGCTGTGATTGATTGGACCTCATGGTGATCAAGCTCATTGCTGGCTTGGATAAGGTATTGGTTTTCCTTAAGATCATCTGCTTTCTCCTCAAATTGTGCATGAAGCTCATTAGTTGTTGTTGCATCGGTATTGTCATCAATCTTTTGCTGCGCTGGGTCGCTAAGTTCATTTTGTGCTGAGTCAATTTTATATTCAGCTTCGCTGGGTTTGTCATTTTCGGAGTTGATTTCTACGTCACGTATTTCATTATTCACTAGGGGCTCGTAGAGGGCTTCTTTTTCCATTTTAAGTTCCAATTGAGTCGCAGTTTCTTTGTTGGTGCTCTCCTCGCTTTGTATGCCTTGTAATTTTTCAATACCATCACCTTCTACAAGCGGATTTAAAGTCGTTCCAGCGGTTTTCTCTTCAACATAGTTTTCGTTTGCCTCCGCTTGTTCCTGCTCTATGTCTGCTGTGATGGTGGCTTTTTCCTGTACCTCGATATGTAGGGGTTCAATTCGATCTACCTCTAATTCTACACCTGGCTTTTTGATCACAATATGCGCACTCTTTACAGCTTCGGGCTCAACAGTTGTGTCGGTTTGCTCGTTAAGCAAAGACTGGCTCTCCTCGAAGTGTATAAGTTCTTCCAGTGGAGCATTTTCTAATGCTTCGACGGGTTCGGTAGCCGTAAGGTTCTCATTCAAAACTATAGATAGCGATGGTGTATCTCCTTCAACTGGCGTAATCTCTGTTGCGATGTGTTCCTCTTCGGTTTCAACATCAGCGATGCCTTTTTGAGTTGTCTTAAGGCTTTCTTTCAAGTCATCTGATAATTTGCTGATATTGATTTCAGCATTGTCCCTCTTTTCAGTTTCGACATAAATACTTTCCTGACTTTCACTAGAATTATCTGCCTTATCGTTATTCTCTTGAGAATTGTCAAGCTTTTGGTGCGATTGGACACCGTCTTCAGTTATTTCGTTAGAGTCATGTGTGTAGAGCTTTGCCTCACACGTAGGATCCAGCGTAATGGATGTGGTGTTTTTAACTTCTCCAAGTAGTCTATCATGATTTTCGTTTTTCTCTCGTTCAATATTTTGCATTTCACCATCTTCGTTGATCTCATTTTCTGCAACAGCATTTTCGTTTAAAATTTCGAAATTTTCGTTTGCATTTACATTCAGATTTCTGTCATCTCTTTGGCTGCCCGTAAGATTCTGTTCTGTCGTTGGCCGGCCTTCGGCTTGTGCGGGAAAGAATATTGAAAGATCTGTTTCTGCGGACGAAGAATATCCAGCTGAAGTACTATCTGTAGCCACTGTAGTAGTGGATGTCACTGAAATACAGTTATTGGGTTAATAACTAAAGTAAATTTATAAAGGAATATTATAACTTACATTCTGTTACTACATCAGCAGCATCACTCTGTTCGGCATTGTCGTGATGCTTTGCATTTTGTTCAGCCGAGAGCTCTTCACTGTGTTTTTGCAGCTCCTCTAGAGCGGCAGCCTGTTGAAGATGTTCAGCCACAGCAGATCCAATATCGTGTTCAAACTCAATTTCATTTTTAACTGAATTACGTATGGTCTCCTCGAGATTTCCGGTAAGTAAGGTTTCAGTATATTCGAATTTTGGATTGATTAACTCTGGTGTGTCCCTAACTTCTGTAGTCGTGCCCTCATTGACAGTTTGCGAGATTTCATTATTAATTTCTTGTGGCGCGTTTAATGATATCGTTGAATTGGAGTGATTCGTACTGGTGACGTTGAATGAAATTGCTTCCGTTTCATTCACAATAGCGATTTCCGCATTCGTTGCTTCTTGGCTCTGGTCGCTTTCATTTTCACGTATGGTGACAGTGGTTTGGATATTGGCTAATTGTGGGGTAATAACAGTGGTGAATTCAACTTCGTCGACTGCGTGCGGTGATGGAATGGTGGTGGTGGCATTTGTATCTACTGGAACTGCCTCGACTGAAGCAGCTGACAGGAATGGCACTGCAAGGTTAAAAAAACATAGAAAATTATATGTTTAGTGAATTGCTATGAAAATTGCTGTTAAAATGTAAGCTAAGCCGTTGAAACTGTTAGTAAACTGTTAGGCACCGTAATCTACATAAATACAGTGGGCGTCCATTATAACGAATCTTATGTTGTGCGCCTAATTCGTAAAATGTTCGTTAAACAAAGCCAATTTTAACAGGAATCACATTACTTTTTTGGGTTAAATTAAAAAAAAAAAACAAAAAAAAAAACATATTGTTAGCTTCACAAAACAAATAATTTTTGATTACACACGCAGAATTTTTATATATTCGGTTGTAATTTTCATATGTGGGGTTCATAACGATGCAAAGTGGGCCAGACCATTGAAAAGGTGGCCAAAATTGTTGCCTGACTATTTAAAGAAAAAAATATTTTATGGTATAGCTTATTATGCAAGGTATCAAAATCCGTGTTATATATGTATATCGAAAAGTAGCAGATGTCAAAAAATTATAAAAAATTCGGGAAGACACGTAGTCTGCATTTTTTGAAATTTTAACAGCCTTAAACGTATTAAAAATTCAATGGATTTGTTCTATTTTCTCCCAATTCGCCTTGGTATTTTTAATAGACAGAATAGCCAAGTTACGTAGCCTGTCTTGTCTTATAGAGTTCCTCAAATAGGTTTTTATTAATTTTATTTTTGAAAATGATCGTTCAGCACTAGCAATACATGTTTCAGGAAAGCAGAGGACGACATAAAATAAAGAATGTATATGTATATGGGCATTTCCAACGGTCGCAAACCGTACGTTCGTTCGCTTTTCAAGTTCAAAAAACAAAGAAAACATAAATTGTTACTATCTTTTTGTATTTCAATAGAATTTTGCTGGGTTATGTTAGCAACAAATACGAATAATGGAAGTTGCTTTTGGTTGCAAATTGAAAAATGTAAGAATCTGCGAAATGGAACAGAATATTCTAAAGCGTTTAATTTTATATCAAAGCGAAATAATGTAAATAATTTTGCGTTGAAATATTTCTATTAGTTTTTTTTTATATATAAGCTTAAGTATGCCTTTAATGAAAATGAAATGGTATTAGAAATTTGGTCCGATGTTTGTAAGTACCAGAAGAAAAAGATATAGACCTACATAAATATTTGCCAAAATGGTCGAACCGTAGAGCTGAGTCTATTTAGCCAAGTCCATCTGTCTGTCTGTTTGAACGCAATTTAGTTCCCCAGTTTTCGAGATATCCAACTAAAATTTCGATTTGTCGGAACAATCAAAATCGGACCACTATCAGGCAGGTTCTGCAAATCACTTCCGAGTGAATTTCAACAAAAGTCACTTTGAATTCAAATGAAATGGGATTGAAATTCACACGGAAGTGAATTGCAGGACCTGCCTGTATAACTTATAGCTCCCATAGAACAGATTATCCATTTTAGTTCTCGGTCCTGGTTGACCATTCTGGGGGTATGCTCATATGGTCTTGAGTTGTGTCTCACTTTAACTGATTTTAAGTACTAAAAAAGTTACTTAGTTTTGTTAAAAACTGTTAGGTTATTTCCGAGCTCGCGGTCTCTTGGGCCGCGGCCTTCTCGGAGGCAGTAGAGGTATAATCAGCTCAGAAAGCCTGATTTTGTTCATCAAACTTTTGAAATGGTTTAGCAATAAGCTGGCACAGAAATTTAAGAAATTATTTTTCACCCAAAATGGGCCTCCGTTGCATTTCCGAGAACCCTTTGACTACTATTACATACATACATATTTATGTACATATGTGCATTGCATGAAGATCACAACCTCTAATATTCTATTTACTATTCACCTTTAAGCACTAGCATTCATAGAGAAAAAATGTTTACATATGCACGTGTGTAAGTTGTTCATCATTATAACAACACTGACAGTCGCCAACTTAAGTAAATACCATATATTTACATGTGAATGAACTACATAATAAGTCTAAAAATACAAAGGAATTATGACTTGTTTCCTTACGCCCTCAAAATTGTTTACTCAATGTCTAAACAGAAGATCGTGTTACGTTACGATGCCCCCCCTTTTTCACATTTAGAATTGCATTAAAGAGGTCTCAAAAGTGTTGGGCACAGTGGTAATAAAAATAATAAACAAAAAAAAACAATATTATTTAAATTATTTTTGTAAATGAGAAAGAAGGTGTAATAGTAAAACAATGGCACCTATGGTGATGGAAGCTTAAAATCTAAAGATCCTCAGATCACTAAAATGAAGTAGCGCAAGGACCAAGGCCTTCATTTCCGCTTGGCTATTCGAGTAGACACAATACATGACGGAGTGAAGCAGTTGTGCAGCCAATCAACTACCTCCTTAATGCCATCCACCTCTGCCCAAAAACGCTTCAGTGATCTGGAAATCTAAATGTATGGTTCATAAAGCGTTTCCGATTAACGAAAGGCTAAATCGACTCTTCCAAAGATCAGTGTCTTCTTCCAAATTCCTCTCCTCGTCCACTGATATTTTGGGGGATGAAATGGATTGAGAAGAATGTAATTGGCATGAATATAGCCACGTAGTGTTATCAGCGATTAAGTTAAAACTGGATCAGGCCAATTCTGAATACTCTCAAGGAGTTTGTTCTCCGGAAATTTTGTTTCTCCCGAGAAAGAAGTCCTCCAAATCCTTAACTCCTAGAGAGTAGCATTTTCCCTGGAAATTTGGGAGAAGGAAATCCGAACTTCAAAAGAGCTGTTCGACAGTTTTTTGACAGCTCAACTCCGCCATTTAAAAGAAAAAATCATTCGGGAATTTTTATTCATGATAGTAGGAAAGGGAGAGATAGAAACCTCCCACGTGGTTTCTGTTCAAAATGGGGCTATATGTATTATAAATGTGTCCAGGTCATCACTCAGTTAAGAACTAGTTAAGCTGCAGCAACCTTAACTACGATGTCGACGGCCGTTATGTTACGCCTGACGTTCAAGGAACGGATTAAGAATGGTTCTAAGCACCCCACCAATTCTAATGAAGGTGTTACGATGTCCACTGCTGCTTTCTGGCTATTAAATACCCTGTTAAAAGTTATTGGCTTCATTATGATTTCGTAGAGTAAGAAAATTACCTTAGAGGAGGTGCTCCGTGTCTTACCAATTTTCCCCTACAGCAGTATATCTTCTTTGCTCCTTCTTCAATGTTAGGCTTCCACGACAGCTTCCTACCTACAGTCAACAAAATACTATGTAGAAAAGCGCAGGGGTGAACATCCCTAGTCGAGGAAAGAGCCGCGTGAGGTATCTTAAATATACCTACTACAAATGAAGAAAATGAGTTACGTTTAACAAGAATTTACAGCAAGTTCTCTTTCACAACCATTTAACCATCAGGTGCAAGTAACGATAGATGAGACCATAAGCGATGTCTTGGTGTTAGTTTACATGGAGAAAGTTAACACCCTTACAATCTACAATAAGTAGCACTCATCTACAATGTTTTATGCGCAACAAGGAAATAGAGGTAGCGGACAGATTGGCGAGGCAAGAGGAGGCGAAACCCCAAATATGGTCCAAGCCCTACCTGGCAATAGGTTCATATACCACAGCGTTCCAAAAAAAAAGGGTGGGAGACGCTACCATTTTCATTATAAGTGGCATAGTGGTGGCCGAACAAATTATCACTGCACCATATTTTGACAAGTTTCAACAGATTGTTTTTTTATTATTTAATTTTGATAACTTTATAAAAACATAGTTCATTATTCAACAAAACCCATGTACGAGCTTTTTCATTTAGATCTCCTATAAAAATTCTGTGTGCAGTTTTGCTTCCCATTGAATTCTAGTAGAATAAAGTACAAGTTTTAAATAGCTAAAAGTTACCGTTGATTTCAACCACTGCTCCACATGTAGGGAAAATTTCCTACATGTAGGGAGTTTTGGCTCTAAAAATGCGTGCGTAGGGAAAAAGGGCAGATTTTTTATATATGTATATATTAAAATGTAGGGCATTTTTAAAATGTGAATAAATATATGCATGATAGGGTCGTTTTGCAAGTAGAATGTGTTAAATGCGTCTCATACAGATGTTCAGAATTTATTTTTAAAGTTATGGTGGCTAGAAACGTATATCAATAATAATAATAATAGATTGGCGCCTACACATATGTATGTTAGTTTTTGGCCGAGCTTCTTCTCCGGTTTGTAGCGTGCGTCTTGCTGTTTTCACATAACCCAGACCACAGCGGCCGCCAAGGTATGTATATTACCATCATTAAAATATCCGCATTTATGCTTTTTGCTTTTGATGTTTTTTCATAAACAAATAAATTTGTTTTCTTTAAATACTAATAAACACACACTGTGATTTATTTAAATAAAAAATTTATGTATGTGTTATATTAAAATAATAATATATGCATATTAAAAACCGCCTCATGTAAATGTGCTTTAATTTTTGAAATTTTTTAACGCTGCTGGAACAAATGTTCTGTAAGGAATTTTGTAGAGAATTTTTTGTTTGGGCGTAGGGAAGGTAGAGATTTTTTTGGTGAACACAACAACAAGCAAGTTTGTTGAAGTACTTTTAAATATTGCCTAAAGTTGGAAACTTGGATTTATACAGGTTTTGTTAAATAATGAACTACAGTTTTATATAAAAATAACCAAAATTGAATAACAAAAACAAAAAAATGTCAAAACTTGTCAAAATATGGTGCCGCTATAATTTCTTCGACCACTGTAGGTGTAACTTAATATAATACATAAATCGATTTCTATCATAATTCCCATATTTAGAGACCTATACTTAAAAATAGCGAAACTTTTTCGTACAAATTTTAGCGCTTTAATCCCTCTCATTGTGGGCCATTTTGACCAGTATTTGAAGAAGTTAATTCAACATAGCAGCTGAGGGTTCAAAAGTTTTTAAAAAGCGTTACCAAAAGATTTGTATAAAGCAACCGCGAACCACCATTAATTCTACGTGTATTTTTGTAGTGACAATTTCTTAACTAAATATGAGGCTTCT